AATTTCCTCTGTTTCTAATTTATTCATCTCTAATTTATTGTAATTATATTGAATAATTCTGATTAATATATTAATGGAAATGAATATTGGCATTTTTATTTCATGTTCCTTGATTAAATTGACTAATCCCTGTTTTCGAAGTGCAATTCTTCAGCAAAATACTAAAGTCTTAGTTTAAGAATCTCGCGTGATCCCCGCATATGTCATCGATGTAAATAAGGTTTGAGATGGTTTGAAAAGGAATGCGTCTTCCGTTTATTGACAGAACGACGGAACAGCGATTTTATGTGCAATTACCTTCTCTAATTTAATCCAATTCGATACTTTCGTTTGTGGACCGGAACAGCAAGAAAATATCCCGTTGTTTAAACGACACACGTGGTTTCCGACGACGCGACGTCGTGATTACCCAGGTTTAAGAAAAAATCGACGCAATGTAACATGATACTCTTTATTCAACCATATTATTATACATATGTACATTATGTTATATTTGCGGCATATACATATATCTTGTTATGTTTGAACAAATTCCCGCGGGGTAGGATACGCGAATCGTTGAGGAACGATTAACTCGGAATGGGCGGGGGTGGCCGAGGGTTAAACGAAATCGGCCTGTACGCTTTCTGTTTCGTGAACGGTTGTATCCCGCTTGTTAGTATGAAATCATGGCCAGGTTTCCTCGGTTGTATCCTCGCCTCCACTAGCTGCGAGTCTTCCTCCGACGTTCCCGCGTCCTCGAACCGTTCTGGACTACCGGACCTGCTCAACGTTCGTTCGCTCTTTCGTCTCCCTGTTTCGGTCTCGTTTTCCCTATCGAATCGACGATTCGTATCAGTACCGGCACGTCAATTATTTGCTACGTAAAGCGTCCTTGGCCGAGACTATCGAATAGCAATTTCATTCGGACGGCGGATCGAGTCGATTGGAAACGAGTCGTCGATTCGCGACCTGCGGGTCCGCTCGCGAATTAACTTAGCCTTAATGAAGCGTTGTTAGATGACTAGAGGCGTTAGAAAACATTCCCTTCCATTCTTTATAAATATCGTCTATATATAAAAATACTATATTTCTCAGTGCATCAAAAATTATGCAAACGAAAACGCCGCGTACTATACAATATTGGAATGGCTATAATAATCTATACTTAACGTCGACCGAGCAAAGTAGATAGAGCTATACATTGTTCTTATGGACAATTGGTGTTATTTCTTAATTGGAAAGAAAACGAAGTCTCCAATAAGAAGAGGAATAAGTTTGTCTTACAGCGGCTCGATTCAAGGAATCGAGGTTCTATCCTCGAACCTACCTAGCTCGATGCGGTTTGCTCTTGACTCCGGTCTGTCTGGAATGAGGCCTCGTGTTCGGCTGAGAAAGTTCGCTGTCGCTACTCGGGAAAGAGGTTCTAGTTGCCACCGTGCCGTGAGCGAAGTCTTTCCTAAAGCGACAGAGTTAATTAACATCAAAATGTCATGAAGTCTAAATTATCCTGCATACTGGATTGCTTTTTATCCTGGCTGTTTCCCTATTTCCCATATTTTTATCTGCTTAAAGAAATCAAGGAATAACGTAATGAAAACTATTGAAAATTCAGACATTTCTGAGAATAAAGTAAATGTCCTTAATTTCTTACAACTTCTACTCACTATTTTTCTATAATTCGTTATCTTAGAATTATAGAAAAATAAGTCAGTGAGTTGAAATTGTGCCTCGAATAGGAATTGAGACATTTACTTCAGTCGAGAATTTTTAAAAATAATGAGCATGTATGAACCTAAACGATCCACTATGCAGGCAACGCTAGTGCAAATGTGTTTTGACAGACGAAGGGATAGAATTACCTATAGTTGTCCGATTTAGGAGTAGAATTGGACGTAACCGGTTTGCCGGAATGAGCATTCACGTCCACGAAAACCGGCGAACTCTTCGGAATATCGCAAACTATCTTTGGATGAACAGTAGTCTGTTTGTAATCCAAATGAGCGGTGGTTTCCGGTGGCCAGTCGTAATACTTAGGCCGGTAGCCTTTTCGCTCGGCCCGGGCTTGCTTCGCTAAATCCGAATCGCTGTCTTTCTTCCGTGGAATTTCGTTATCGAAACATTTCGTGGGTGCGCTCCTGGACAAGTTTCCACTGGGCAACGACGTCGGAGAAGATGCCGTGGAAGAAGGCGCACCGTCCGGTTCGGCTCGCGATAACTGCGAACCGTCCCAATCGGCAGTCGGGAGGCTACTATAATTACAAACGAAAATTAAGCTGCTGTAAATCTTTACTCGTATCATATCTTCGTATCACACCGCTTATCATTGCTTATTATTAAAATTATTTCATGAAAATCGTTTTAATTGAAATACTTTTCGCTCACTAATCTTACTGTCATATAAAGAGAATTATGATCGCACTTATAATGATATGCAGTGGTGATATGATACGTTTTACAAATAAAACAAATTCGCTAGTTATTCCGAGCGATTTTCAGAGATAGTCGCTTACTTGAAATTCTCTTCCATCTCTTTGAACAGACGCAGCTGTTGCCTGATATTCGCTTTCTCCTTCGCTCGTTTTCGTTGGAATTCCTCTTCGACCTTCCGCATGGCTTCGAGCTCACCCTTCCTTTGACGTTCCTTCGCTTCAGCCTCCCTCGACAGTTTTTCAGCTAATCGACGCCTCTCTATTTGCCTGACGGTCGATTGAAACGTGAACCTCTTGCCCTTCGAATTGCTCTTTCGCTGCGGTTTCGCCGCCTTCGCGTCCCCCGAACCCGAGGTACTCGCCGGTTCCCGATTCTCGTTAAAAGGCGACGACGCTCTTCTCGTCTTCGACCGGTTCTCGCGCGAGTCGGAACGATTTGAGAATTCATTGGACTCCCTCGTGTCATTGACATTTTTACATCGTCTTCGCGATGGATCGTTTTTACTCTCTTCGTCATAATTCTCTCCCTTGATCTCTCTGATCTCGTTGACATCATCACGGTCATAGCCGTTCAATCGATAAGAAGAAACCTCACCGCGATACGCTGATCTTTCCACATTATTCTCCTCGTGAATCGTCATAGTCGTTCTCGTGTATTCAGTGGAAGTGACTTTTCTCCCAGACATGTTCTGAACTCTGTGCTCCACTTCGTTCGTTTCCGGCAGGTACATAACATGACCACCAGGTGTGAGATACGAGAAGGACGGCGGTTTCATAATTACCGGGAAATCGTTTGCTTTCTCGTTCCGTTCTATCACGTCGTTCGCCCTCGCGTCTTCCTCCTCGTCCTCCGCCAAATTGTCATCGACGACTCGATCGTCGTCGTCGTCTTCGTCATCGTCGTCGGCATCAGCGTCGGCGCCGTCACCGTCGGGATCACGATCCTGAGTGAACGGTCTCCAGACCGAGGGAGAAACTCGCGTCGAGGCTTCGACGCGAACGTGGCTGTGCTGCAACGAGGTCGGCGCGCTGCTCGATAAAAGCCAGTTATCGTCGAGGACATCGCGAGTGCACTTCTTTTGACGATCCTGCGCGCCGATACCGAACGCCCCCGACACCGACCGCTTCAGCTTTTGAAGCGAGTTGAACGCGGACGCGTCTCTGGTTTTCGTTTCCGAGCCTCCGAGATAGTTCCTGGCGTCGTCCCTGGGCAACGAGAGGGAGAACACGTGCGCTCGCGGGGAATGGTACTTCAAAGGGGTGGACAAAGGCGGCGGAGAATCGACCCCAGCGTCGCTGCTCGATTCTTCTCCCAAGTCCTGTTGCGGTGTCCAAGTAGGCCTGGTCGTCGTCGTTTTCATTCTGTTGATAGTACTTACGTCCAATGAGTCCTCGTTAGGTGCCCCCGCGTCTCCAGATATCCCGGAGTCACCGGATTTGTCGTGCCAACTGCGGGGGCCCAACGAGAGCGGGAAAGGCGGCGGGGGTCTCGAGAGACGCTCTATTCGTTCCTCGAACATTACCTGATTCAAATATACTTGATTAAAGTTTGAAAAGATATAAACCACTCAATATGCCTAATATTATTATTATTAGCATAAGCCGTGTAGAATACATAAAGGAAAGCAACGAAAGTCTGACAGATTTAAGATATTAACAATAATTTATATAAATTCTGAGTCGTTGCAAAATTTACTGATCATGGGACGTATTGGAATTCTGGAGAAAGGCCAAGAGGATCTCGATACAATATCTTTTATCTTTTTATTATTCTTTTATCTATTATCTCTTATCCTTTTTTTCTTTCCTTCATATCACTTTTTACACGGGTTTTTCACTTGTGCATGAATATGAATAAAAATATCGAGCTACAAACCGGCATTTCCTCGCTGGCGGTGCTCATACTCGGGCCCGGAGCCTCCAACGCCGAGAGC